TTTACTAAATTTACTTGCTTGCTTAATTGTTATAGTTACAATTATGTCAACAATTGTATCTTTAACAGTTAGCTGTCTAATAAATTTAAAGGTAGGTAAATATACCTTATAAAAAGAATATACTAGCCTTAATGTACTAGCCTTACGAACGTAATATTCAGGTTTTACAATAAATATAAAAATATTTGAAAATAATGTATCTTAAAATAACGTTAGGCGTCAAAAACAAATGTGTAGTGACGGATGAGTTAAAATTATTTTTTCTACGACCACTATGTAAAAGTCACTTTTCATGATGGCATCGTTGCTTAGAAAATGAATCTTTTCATTGGCAAGGCAAAACACGAATGTAAAGTGTCATTTCTGTGTGAAAAGTGACAGGTCTGTGTGAAAAGAAACGGAAAGCATCGTTTGACATTCAGCTGTCAAAAAAGTTTTTTTGTTATTTTGTTTTGTATTTAAAATTAATAAAAAATAACTGTCGCAGAAAAAACATTGTGATAAAATGTCATAATTTTCGAATTATAATTGGTCCGCCCGGATGAAGGGAATAACGGACAAACGGATACATGAAAATTAAGCTTTAATCTTTTAATTTTTAAGGTATATATTTTTAATAATTGACAGGGGTGGACGGGACAAGATAAATCTTTTTTTTGTCCCGTCCACACCTTTCAATTATTAAAATTATATCTACTTTCATAAAATATTTCTTGCGTTTTTTTTTATTTAATGTATAACCTAATAAAAGAAGAATATTTTTTACAATTTTGATATAATAAATAATCTACAATTTTTTTTATAAAAAAAGTTTTGTAATTCGTGCGTTTTGCGCGCTTGAAATGGCCGAAATGTCGTGTTTTGCCTTGCCAATGAAAAGATTTATTTTCTAAGCAACGATGCCATTATGAAATGTGAATTTTACACAGTGGTCGTAGAAAAAATCGTTTACAGTTTACTGAAATTACTTACAATCATAATTAGGGGCACAAACTTTGAGGGATTTTTGTTTCGATGTTTTAAACAATATTTAGTTGAAAAAAAATAGTCGTTTTAAATTAAACACCCTAATATGTATATGTCTAACTAGCCGTTGACTAAAATGTTTTGCATACGGTAAGTTGGTATGATTCGCCAAAAATTACTTTTCTATTGTAAATATTTAAAATCAAAACGTGCCAATAAATGTTATTGACCGAACAAACGATGAAGTTTAACATTGTCCATCATTAATCCAATATAGGTACACATTTACCAAAGCACGCAAGAACAAACGTTGTCCGTCCCCCCTCCCCCATCTCTCCTCCCTCTTTGCGAGCGCCTCGTCGTGAAATTAGGCGTGTGAGTGGCGCTGACAGGCCCACAAAGCCGGCAATTACGCGCCTCGTCGCCGGCAGCGTCGCGACGCCACCGTGTCATTGTTGCGCCGTCACACCCACCCGTACGACGGGGGGAGACGATGACAATGCCCGCGCGACCGTCGGACGGCACTGCGTAATATTTACGAGGACAGGTCCGAAAGTGTGAATTTAGAAATTGAATTAATCAAAAATTGGCTGATTATTCATTTTCCTAATATACAGGGTGTCCGTTTTTTGATTTGTGTAAAAAAAACGGTTTTTTTTTTCAGATGTGAAAAAAACTAGAAAAAAAAACCGTTTTTTTTTTGTTTTTTTTTTCAAATCCGCTACAATAAAGCATATTCTGTCAATAAATAACATCAATCTTAAAAAATGGAGTAATTTTTCAAAATGAAATTTTGAGTAAAATGTATGTAAATATGTAAATGTATGTATAAAGTGAAATGTAGAATATATTACATTTTTCATTATTGAAAATTTTGACCGAGACTAAAAAATCTGATTTCTTATTATTTGGTAGTTTCCACATAAGAAACCAATAGCAATGTAAAACTTCTACACTAATAGAAAAAATTAGAGGAAAAAAAAAATTTCAAATTTTTTGCGATTTTTCGGATAGCTGTATCTTTTTTAAAAATGGTCGTATTGGAGCCGTAAAAAAAGCAATTTGAAGCTTGAAGTTTCTTGTTTTGAGATTTTTAGATGAAAAACGTGCAACGCTCAATCATAACGAATGCCGTAATAAAAAATTCGAAATTTTTTTGGCTTTCTTTTCTGGTCCACGGAATGTTCTGACTTAACCACCAATGAATAAATGTACTACAAGAATTTGCTATTGCTTTTTTTGAAAAAAAAAATGTCATACTCTACATGAATTTGAAAAATCATGAAAAAAGTGCTTTTGGTAGCTCTGAAAAATCAAGCGCTTAATCAAAAATATTATAGGTAGTTACTTTTTTTAGGACGAAATCAAAACAAGCGCGGCCCTTATTGGTCAATTCGGTGGTGTTTATTTACATTTACTAAATGTCATTTAGTGGCTAATTTTAGTCCATGAACTGGACTGGAAACATAAAAAATTAGGCAAATGGGACTAATCTTGAAAAAAACTAAAATATGAAAAAAACAATGAAAAAAAAACCTGAAAATGTCGCATCTCTACATGATCATCTTATCTTCAAAGTTTTGAAGCTACCGAAAAAATGTTGGCTTAATTACAAAAATGACAAAATTAACAATGCAAATTGTCAATTTGGCGTTTTTATTAATTGTTGGTTATTTAATTTTTGTACTGAAGGTAAATTCAAACAAAATCTGCCAACTTTAATGACAGAATCTAGTGCATTTCTTTTAAATTTTAGGTTATGTTTTCAAATTGTAAATATCTTAACTAAGGGAAGTGCTTTTGGATTTATTTACACAAATTAAATGTTTAAAGTTTACAGAGAAAAAAACTGATGAAAAAATTAATTTTGTGGTTATGGATTTCAAATTTCAAAGGTACTAAATTTTCTAATCATTGCTTAAGCTAATAGCTGGATCAGTAAATAAATACAGAAGGGTATTAGAGCTTTAAGGGCATAAAACTTTTGTATTTATTGAGTTTTTATTTATTTTTTGCAAGAAAAATTTTTAGTAACAATTTTTTACATCTGGCAACGCATAGCTACTTTGTTGGTTGGTATCTATGTACTCACAAAATACAGGTGTGCAGAGATAAACAAGTGTGTAACCAGTGGGGTATCACAAAAAATATAAAAAACTTCTAATGCATATTTTTTCTTTATCTTTGAAAAAATGTTTTTTTAAATATTTTTCCTTTATTCCTTATGTCAAAAGGTATTCAGTATTTTAATATATAACATTAATTACATAACACCCTGTACAAAACCTATTAAATATGTCCAAGTTTTCACTATTGCAATATGATGTGGTCCTGGGGTTATAGAGTGTGATTATAACTTTCAAACCTTAATTAAGACATTAAAAATATTTTTAAATTTAATTGAAAAATGTTCTATTAATTTTTATTATTGTAAGTTCTAATTTGTGAATCTAGTTTTATATTAGCTGTCTCAATTTATTATTTTGTTAATAACAAATGTTAAGCACAACTGACAAATGGCAGATAACCAAAATGTATAAAAAAAATAGTAGCACCAAATGTACATTTTGTATTATTTATTTGTAGACCAGTGTTATCGAACGTTACCAAGTTTTGGACATCCCCTTGTAGTATATTAGGTATTGTCCGGTAGTTTGCCATTCACGCCTGTAAATGATGTGCGTGTGGTGCCCGTTGATTTTATTTCGATATCGAGATAATATCGCGGTAATCCGATAAGGCACGCCTGCCACATTTTTTTATTGTTATATTATTAGGGTGGTGTTTCATATAACATTGGACTAAGAAGCTTCTTCTGCAAAAATATTAGAATATATTCAAACATATTTTGTAAAATCAAAGAAACCGTTAACATTATCTTTAAAACATTTTCAAAAAATAATTATCGCAATAAACAAACAAAAATTTACAATATATGTATATGGGTGAATATTCTAAAACTGTCAATTTTCGGAACCATTTTCGTTAACACAAAAAATTGCAAAACTTATCCACTCATGAACATAGACTAAAAAGACTAAAAACGTAAATTTGTTTTTGTCTTTTTTAGAAATTTGAACCCACGGTTTTACTTGGTCATCTCTTATTCTTCTGCGTCTCTGCTTGTCTTTTAGCTTCGTTGGTCAACTTGTTTCGTGGTTTTGTCATTTTAATTAATTTCCCACTGAAATAAAATATTTTAAATTGGTTACATGTAAGGGACACGACAATGACGAGCACGGTAATGATGATTTTAAGGTTAGAGTGTTTTACAATGTTTATTCGAAAATGTAATGGAATTTTCAAGTTACCATTTGCTTTTTGTTAATGCAAAACTACTTTGTATTAATGTAAATATTTTGTATGTCCATAAACTTTAAAATAATAATACAATGACGGACTTAGACGTAACAAGCCGTTTTCTTTTTTATTCGGCGCACGTCACAACTTTATGGTTTCAAACCCACTAGCATATGTCAAACCATTGGTTTGACATATGCTAGTGGACGTTAGACAGGCATGATATTTCCATATCAGACGTTCGAAAACTTCCGGCATTTTCCGAATGTATCGCGTATTTAAATATGAAATTAGACATATTTTAAGTAGCCAGGGCAATGACGCTCATGGGTGTGAACAAAGTTTAAATGGCATTAAAAGAAAAGTTAACATTTTAAAATGTAATTTCTTGTTTGCATTGTATTATTTTGTATTTGCTTCGTCTGTGTTAGACAGGATATTGCAAGATTTAAATTGTAAATAAATGTAAGAAAATAATATGTTGTTGTTTTTCGAATGTGAACAAGGCACGGTAATGACGTTTGCGACACAAAATTATAATATATTTTTGACTATGCTCGTTTAAACTAAAATAAGTAAGGAATCAAGTAAAAATAGTTAATTTTACTAGACATCAAGTATTTTATTTTTTGTGGGATATTAACTTTTGAAATAACAAGCCAGAACCGATTGAATTACACTTTTGAAATATTCACCCATATATGTCAATCATTACCTTATTTTTTTGGTTCCAGGTCATAATAATCAAGGCTACAACCAAGGCGGGGGCGGTGGCGGTTATAACCAGAACCGCGGTCAAAACTACGGCTACAGCAGTGGCGGCGGCAACAGTCAGCACAATCAAGGCGGTTATAACCAAAATCGTGGTGGTTACAACCAACAACAAGGCGGTTATAACAGAAACAACAGGGGCGGACACGACCAAAATCAGAGGAGAGGTCCAGGACCGTACCGGGACAGGTACGAGGCCTCTAACAGGTATGCTGCAAGGAGATAATTAAGGAATAATTTTATATAAGATTTAATATCGGGGTTTAAAGCTATAAAATTTTAATATTTTTTTTAAATTTTTATAGCTTTGAACCCCTTACATAACTAATAAGAAATTTATGAGAGTCAATACATTATGGCGCCGTTAATATATTTTCTATAGAAAATAAAGTAAGTTGTTTTAGTGTTTTTCTACCTTATTGATTGATTTAAATACTTTTTAATTTTATAAGTTAAAAATAAATTATATGACTTGTCTAAAATTTCACTTTTTTGTAATTTAATGTAATGTACGTATATTAGTTTTAATCACGTTTTGACCTCAGGTGAATGTGAATGATAAAAATGAAATAAGCTGATTTATCTGCAGAAATCTAAAAATGTTTTGTATGATGTTTATAGCGCTTTGAAAATAAATCGTGTATTTCAACCAAATTTTGTGTTTTTTTAATAATTTAAAACCTATCTATAGGTTTATAAACAGATTTATGAGGTAAGTATGTATTTTTTTAATAAATATACAGGGTGTCCGCAAAATGGCGCATCAACGTTGTAGGGGGTATTATTTTAAAACAATTAAATTTTAATTTTTTTTATCTTAATTTTTTTTAAGAATTAAGAAAATTTATTTATGTAAATAGATGGAAAACAGTTTTCTTATGGCGTTTTAAAAATAAAGAGTAAAAGCTTGTTAATAGTAACAAAGTTATAAAAAATACACAGCGTTCCGAGTTTTTAAAGTTACACCTCTTTAAGCGCGTTTAGAGTACAATTTTAGCAGGCGACGGAAGTGACGTAACAGCTGTTAGCCACTCACGTAAGTATCAGAAGAGCATGAAGTTGCAGAGGTAAGTCACGTTGATGTGTGCAACAAAATGTTGCAGAATTATTAAATGCTTGAAAAAAATAGTATATACAACACGGCAGATAGAGCTCGGCTTCAATAAGCGCTTTTTCCGCCTCTTAAATACTGAGGAAAATATTTGACAATTTTGATGCAAAAATAATATATAATAAATTACTTACAATTGAAGGGGTCAATGCAAGAAGTGCCTAAGTCACATTTTCAATTAAATTGTTATTGTGGCTTCATCTAAGAGTTTTCACGTAAGTTGAAAACCAGGCAAACTCCCATTAAAGTAAATGCAAACTAAGGCACTTGGGCACATATTTCTGCCACTTTGAAAATACCACCTGAAACCTTACGTAAAACACTCTTAGATGAAGCCACAATGTAAATTTAATTAAAAATGTGACTTAGGCACTTCTTGCTTTGACCCCTTCAATTTAAAAGAAAACAGTTTTGTGATTTGTCCCGTCCGTCCGCTTGAAATGGCAGATAAGTCAAATATCTAAATTTAATATTTTTAGACGAAATTAAAGTCAATGAGTTCAGTTACACTTCGCCTCCGAAGATACCAAAATCGTTGGCGAAAGGTGCTTTAAGCCCTTTGTGTTTCGTTTTGGCGTTGGGGAATATTTCTAATATTGATTATTTTGTTTAAATGCTTAATAACTCGAAAAGTACTTGTCGAAAAAAAAATTGCAAATTGCCTTCCACAACGTGGTATGCGGTTGGTGCGTAATTTTTTGTACACGTATTTATAGCACCGTGAATGCAATAGTAACGTAAATAAAAAATCAACAGAGAAAATGGCGTTTGGACAGCTTTATAAGAAATTTTCTAGAAAACGAAGAATGAAAATATAGAATCTATAATCCAATGTATCAGTATTATTTATTTTTATATTGCTTTAGAAAATAACCAGAAAAAAAAACAATTTCTTCAATAACAACTCCTGCAGAAAATGATCGTCAACTTAATAAACCATACCTGCAGCAGACATTTTTTTTCAAATTTCATTATTTCTGTGATTTTCAGCTTAGACAGAAAATAAATGTGATAAAAACTCAAAAATCAAAAACCTAAATTTAAAATTATTCCAAAAAAATTAGCTACAGAATTTTTCTTTTGTTTTTTTTTGTGTGCACCAAAAAAAAATAGCCATTCAAGTATTACATAAGTACCAAAGGGGGAGAGGGGGTCTTTGCTTAGCTTATTTTTGACAAAGGGAAGGGGGGGTTGACAATTACAATAATACTATATAATACGTAATACTTCAAATTTTAAAAACCAACTCTCGAATTCCAGTTGAAAAAATTATTAAGGGTCAGGAAACGAAAAAGAAAACTATTAGCGTCGACACATTTTGTCTGTAAAAAAATCAGGGAAGGTCAGGGATAGGGTTTTAAAACTTCCGGAAAAATTGAGCCGTCGGAAAAAAAACCGTTTTTTTCTGGAAAAAAACGGAAAAATTGAGAAATTTTCAGAAAAATTTACTTTTTCATTTTTTAAATTTTATACAAAGGGTAATACAAAAAAATGAAAAGTCAATTTTTTTGAAAATTTACAAATTTTTACGGATACTATCCGTACACTGATATCGAGAAAAAAGTGGATTTCCGACGCTGTTTATAATCATATAATATTATGATTATAATAATTGTTTCTTTTATTTTAATTCAGTAAGAATATTCTACCGGGCTACAAAAAGAAACATATTCGGTGCTATATTAACACTTTGATTTATAAAATTATAATTTTGTAATTTAACTTTATAAATCATTCATTATTTTGTAGTTAGATATTTTGAATGGACTCCTTTTTGCAACAAAAGAACCCAACAGACAGTATATTTCACGTTTACGATTATTTTCTTAAGTTTAATTTAATGTTTAGTTTTATTTTTTTTTTTGTAATAAAGGATTTTTTTAATTTAAAATAATGTTAAGTTGTTAATTACTAGTTTTTTTTAAATGTGTATATTTTTCAAAAAATAAATTCAATTTTTACCAAAAAAGACAATTTTTCCAAGGCCTGGAAAAAAACAGATTTTTTCGCCAATTTTTTCTTTTTTTTTTCGACACTTTAAAACCCTAGTCAGGGAATTTGCTTTAGGCAAATCGGTGGCACCCCTGAATTATTAAAAAAAAAGTGTTTATTTTAATAGAAAAACTTTTATGCGCAAAATTTTATGTCAATGAAAAAAAATTGCATTGTTGCATATTGCACCAGCTGAACAGATATTAATGCAAGCTCGCGACCTCGTGATTCCTGCGGCAGCAGAATCCTGTCGTATCTCGCCGCATCGCTTCCTTCCTTCCCGGTCGGCCACTCGAGCGTCAGGCAGGCAATTCCTGAAGGGCCCATACGTGACCTGACAAAGGCTCGTTTGGCAGGACGCCCTGCGCCCCCCCCTACCGCCCCTCAGCCACTCATCGACGTGTCCTCCCGCTGATTTAATGATGTCTTGCTTTAATTGCCGACAAATTGGCAATTGCCGCAGCACGCACGAGTTTTCATTTTTCTTTTCCTCTATGGTAAAATTAATTTCCCAATATCCCCATGCAAAGTTATCGAGTTTTAGGTTGGATTTTTTCTTTGATGTTTGATGTTAATTGTCAATCAATTGATGAGTAGGCGGTTTTGTAAACGTTTAATTAATTGAATCCAATTAGTAAGGCTTTTAATTAATAACGCACTCGCTCAATAATGAATTATAATTTACATTCATCCTAAAATTATGTTTTTAAACCTTGTGAAATTTTAAAATCTTAAAAAGTTTAAATTGATTCTTTATAAAAATATAACAAATCAAGATTATACGAAAATAAAAAATATATATCAAAAATGTTAATAGTAAAAATATAAAAAAGTAACAAAAAGACAAAAAAAAAACCCTCGAGGAATTAACAATATATAATTCTAAATGTAAACAATAGGGAATGCAATCTTGGTATATCAAGATCTCGAAATACCAAGATCTCGCACTAATTCTGCAAGATTAGCCTTGCACGAAAATCATGCGCGATCTCGCAAGATTTGCGAGAGTAGAACGCAGCGCATTCCAAGTGTGTTTTGTGTTTTTTGTCATTTTCAAAATAATGTATAGTTTTTTCAATAAATAATTTTAGTCATGTTTATGGTTTTTGCTTCAATAGCTTGATGATTATTCGTACACTAAGAAAATATATTGTAATACCTAACAATATAGATTTGTTATGCAAAATATGGTTCATTTAATTATAACTTATGGTTATAATAACAATATACGAAAAATTAGTGTTGTTACATGTACTGTAATCATTTTGTTATAAAAATTTAGTAAGTTAGATATTTAAATAGGCTTTAGTACTACACTAGATGATTAAAATTATAAGATTATCTGGTTACAATAACAATATAATGTTGTCACACATTATTAACAATATTTCGTTGTAGTTTTTACTATACAGAAAGTTTACATGTAATGATATGTGCACATATCACACGTATAGTATATTTAACCATTAGAGGGTTATAAGGTACTTCCATATGATTATTATAACTAAATAAATTATTGTTTTGTGCAACAACAAAAATATAGTTAAAGTAACTATAAAACTGTTACAATAAAAACATGGTTAACATAACAGTATATATACTGTATATATATGGTGCCTATACTAATCAGAATATTCGATTAAGATAACCATTGCTTTTTCTCAGTGTATAAAATGTTTTTTTCTTAAAAATTTCGCAAGTGGCATTAATTTTTAAGAAAAGGTTTAATGCCAGGAGCGAAATTTCCAAGGAAAAATCTTGTGTAAATAAAATTTTATCACGAGTGGTATTCGGCAAGACTATTTCACGAATATTTTTTTTTAATTGGAATTAACTGCCGATTCAATTTTTGTATGATTTTTTTGACCAAAACGCATATTTTTTGACTGATTGGTCCATAAAGTAATGAGTGGAAGAGTCTTAAATAAATTATATAATTTATATTTTATTAGATTATTTTGCCCTTACGATATAACCTAACAAAGTTGTAATACAAATAATTATACTTATTTCTTTTTTATTAATCTTAAATCTGCGAGATCTCGCAAAATACCGAGATCTTGAGAGATTACAACTCTTAAATCTTGCAATACCAAGATTGTACATTTTGCTGCAAGATTGCATTCCTTTACTAAACAACATATTTTACTTTATTTTGTTGTATTTCAGTTACTGTTGAATTTAACTCACATAAGAGATGAAAGTATGGGTTAAAAAATATATCTTGCTCTCTTCCGTCAAAATCGATTGAACCGTTTCGGAGATTAGCCCGGACACGCCAGTTTTATTTATACATTTCTAAGATAAGTTTCTGCTTGATTTTAAACCCACAGAATATGCAACACATCATTTTTATTAAAAATTTTGAA